GAGACTACCATTTCTTTGGCATGAAGGCATATTATGGAGGCCGCTGAGAAAAGGCAGATAAGCTACAGGGAGGAGGTGCAGGATAATCCAGTCATACCCATTAGCGGCTCTGCTTGGCAGAGTTTGCTGGAAAACTGGTGCTCTGCTGAGGGCATGGAGATGCAGACTCTAACACTGGGAGTGAGGGACACTGCTGGGAGGGATGTCCCAGACAGAGGGCCCCAGCAGGGGAGAGGGTGGAGCAGTAGAACCTGGGTGGGGTGAATTCAAACTCCCTGGCTCTCTTGGGTGGGCCCTGGGGCTCAGAAATGGGGGCCACATGGCTTAATTTCTTGCTTTTGTCCTCCTTTCCTTCTTCCCTTTAAGGGGGAAAATGGAGGCTTGGCTACTTAAGGAAATGGAAAAGAGAAGGCCTGGGTGATGAGTGGCAGACACTTAAAAAGAGCATGCTTCAAAATCTCCCTCCCTCTCTCCTTGTGTCCCTTTCTTTAACCAGGAGTGAATGTTCTCTCTTTGGATCTCTAGCATATCACATGACTGTCAGTATGGCCACAGAGTGACCCTAATGAATAAACAGGCAGAGACTCTTGGTCCCAGAGGCGGTGTGGGGCCTGCCCTGGTCTGGCGGGAGGCTGGCCACGTGGGCTCACCCACAGCATACTCACGTGTTGCAGTATCGGAACACGCCCCTGATATCCACTTCCCGGACGGCTGCGTTCAAAAGGGGTACAGTGTTCATCTCAGATTGAGACAGAGTCTCACTTTGTTGCTCCAGAGCTAGAGTAGATGTTGTTGTGCGTCAGCCTGGCCTCACAGCATACCTCCTCATCTCCGGGGGCTTCTCTCTCTGTCGATCCTACTGCCCTCAGCCTCCGAGGTTAGCTGGGCACTATCAGACTAGTCTGTACCTGTTCTGGTTAATTTATCATTTTGTATTATTTTTTTATTATAAAATAAATATAAAATAAAATTATAGGTGTTTAATATAATATTGTTTTGTTTTTTTTTTTATATTTTTTTTTTTTTGAGACAGAGGTCTGTCTATTGTGATGGACCAGGCTATAGTGAACCAAGTGCCTTTGGTTGTGTTTAGCCTAGCCTCACTGTCTCTTTTACCTTCAAACTCCTTGGAGCCTCGAGTGATCCTTCTGCACTCACGACCTCACCAGGTGTGTATTGTTGAGACTACAGGCTACAAATGCGCCACCTATTGCCGCAAAATTAAATTCATATTATGAAAAAATATAATCAGATGGCCAAATATAAATCTTTACTAACTTATAGTAGAGACGGGAAAAAGGTCGTCGCTCTTTGCTCAGGCTGGTTTTTGAACCCTGACCTTGAGCAATCCGGTTTTACCGCCTAGGCTCCAAAGAGCATTGTAAGGACATTACATTGTGTGTGTTCTTATTCTTCATGCGGCCAGGTCTGAGATATCATATAATTTTAGCCTTCGATCAAATAATGATTATCTTCGTTAATTTAGTTGGTATGATGATGGCAAGGTCTGCTCAGACTGGGTTGTTTTCTCGAACTCCTAGGGTCCTTGGAGCAATCCGAACCTGAATCGCACTTCTGCACTCCAAAGTGGCTAGGAATTACAAAGCTTTGGTTTGTTACCACACGCACCGGCACTGAGCATAAGGTCTTTACTTAAGTTTGTTGGGGCCATTCATCACCCAGGCCCTCTCTTTTCATCCTGTAGTAGTTCCATTGTTTTGTTTTTCCTCCTTTACAAGGATGTATATATATAGGAAATATTGTGTTTGTTAATAATGTGTATTGAAGCTCTGTGGCCTCTCTCTCTCTTCTCTTTTCTCACCCATTTCTGAGGACCCCAATGGCCACACCCAGGGAGGCCAGGGGGAGTTTGATATCACCCCACACCATGCGTCATACTGCGTCCACCACCACCCTCTCACCAAAAAATAAAAAAAAAAAAAACACATGCTGGGGCCCCCTCAATGTCTGGAAGACATCCTCCTAGCAGCATCGTCCCTCACTCCCAAGTGATTTAGAGTCTTGACAATGATCCATGCTCTCAGCAAGAAACCAACCGTTTTCCAGCAAACTCTGCCAAGCAGGGAGCCCGCTTAATGGGTATGACTGGATATATCCTGCACCTCCTCCCTTAGCTTATTACTGCACACTCATTTTCTCAAGCAGGTCCTCCATAATATGCACTTCATGGCCAAAGACAAATGCGTAAGTTCTCCAAAGCAGACATGGCAAAGTAAAGGTAGGACAGTAGGGAGATGTGATGGAAAACAGGCTCTGTACCCCTGCAAGCCGTGAGGTCCTCTATCCTCCTGTTGAGTCTGTATAAAATTCAGCATAACAAACATGGCCTTGCCACAACCACAGTGCACGATAAATAGATTGGCCAAGAACTAGATCTTAGTAGAAACCTTGGTAGTTTTGTGGAAACCTGGCGTTTGTCATCCTTGAAGGCTGAAATTTAGACATAGTTTGTGATCTTTTCCAAGGTGTGGGCCAGTGGGAGTTCGATGCTTGGCGTCCAAAGACGTGTGCAATTAAAGTACTTTATCACCAACTAGGTTTCCTCTTGAGAAAAAGCTCTGGAGGCTTTTGGAAATTCATCCCAAGAAGGGAGTGGGGTTGAAACAGTCATGATCAAGTGAATGACAAGTGACCAGAATTCCTTGATGTCGAATGGGACTTGCCCTCATTCCCCCTCTCAGCACCTCAGGGGCCAACAGGAGGGCAGGGGATAGGTGTGCGGTTTTGATGCCAAAGTTTCTTATTATGAATAGGCTGATCATATAATGATATAAATTTATAATTCTTTGTAAACAAAGAAAGCCTAGTATTCCAGAGGAATCGTTAGTGTTCAACAATTAAATACAACAAGTAGGGATAGATTTTGGGGAACTTGTAGCCACTGAAATGACCTGTCCATGCGAAGGAAAGGTCTTAGCAAACAGAGCCAGTGTCTGACAGGCAGGTGCCGGGAAATGCCTTGTTCCTGGATGCCTTCCCTGAGTCACGAGATGAAGAAATCAGTTCTTTTATGGTTTCCTGGTTCCACCAAAAACGACTGGACCCCCCCCCCCCAACCCACACCCAACCACACACCCCCCATGGAGGACACCTTGGAGGCGAAGTTTAATGAGAGATCAACCTTTGTCAAAGACTTAATGGCCAGAAACTGAGTTGTGTCATAAAAATCATGCCAATCCGTGTCTGTTGCGAATGAGGCGAACACACAAAGAACATCAATACAACAAAAAAAAAAATAAAACAAAAGAAATTGTCAGTGCAGTTATTCAGTTGTAGAGCGCAAGGTATTACATGGAGCATAGTCTGTTCAGGCTGAGCTAAAAAGGAGAATAAGAAAAGGACTAACTTTCCTGTCCAGATAAATTATTAAAAAAGAATTGGAAATGAAATAAGAGCCAAAATTTCATGTGAGATACAAACTCCAGTTGCAAATCCCACAATGGGAAACATAAATGAGCGGAATTCTCAACCACTTATCTTCAAAAATCCCATAATTTTTATTTCTTACAGACTGCTGAGAAAACAAAAAGAACGTGCTATTCATTTGCACAGATTGTGAAGAGCAGCTGGCCACCCAACACCAACGAACACCCATACCCTTAGGCACACTTCCTTGATCACTGGGTCAGACCAGGAATCTCCTGAAGCGAGGAACATTGTACAGGAGACACCATTAAATAGTGCCTCTGAACCATAGCCCAGGAAGGTTTGGATCACACTCAAATAAACTTCACACCAACACCTGCAGGAATTAGATACTCACTCGATATGCGCTTACACTCTCTGATGATATATTGACAGATTCCAATTGGATTCTGCCTATTATTAAACAGAAAAATCATATTCCCACCTCTCGTGAGACCAGTTAAAAGCTCTCGTATCTTTTACTGTTATTGGAATGATATCTCACAAAGAACTTGATCTTATTTTAATATGTTAGAGGTCTTCCTTGTAAAAATTTTAGCCAAAATTACATCATAGTCCCACATTAGTGACTACTGAGATTATTAATCAAGAATGATGCATGTATGGCACGTGGCTCACGCCTGTAATCCTAGCACTCTGGAGTCCGAGGCGG